GTGAGTGAGTGAGTGAGTGAGTGAGTGAGTGAGTGAGTGAGTGAGTGGAGTGAGTGGAGTGAGTGGAGTGAGTGGAGTGAGTGGAGTGAGTGGAGTGAGTGGAGTGAGTGAGTGAGTGAGGGTGGAGTGAGTGGAGTGAGTGGAGTGAGGTGAGTGAGGTGAGTGAGTGGAGTGAGGTGAGTGAGGTGAGTGAGGTGAGTGAGGTGAGTGAGTGAGTGAGTGAGTGAGTGAGAGAGTGAGTGAGAGTGAGTGAGTGAGTGAGTGAGAGTGAGTAGAGTGAGTGGTGAGTGAGGTGAGTGAGGTGAGGTGAGGTGATTCTTGTCGCAGCATTTACAAGGTGATTCCGAACCGGCGAGAACCAATACTGTGGAAATCACAATGGCAGTAGTGCACAGACACAGGGTGCGCACATCCTTGCCGCAGCCATTACAATGCGATTCGCAGCCTGTCACAACCATTGCTTTGCAAATCACAATGGCAGTAACGCACAGAACCGCAGGGGCCCCCAGCGGCGACCACGCGCGCCGCAGCCCCTTCTGCAGTCCTCTGGACACTGCGCCGGACACTGCGGAGAGAGCCCGGGCCCCCCCAGCGGCGACCACGCGCGCCGCAGCCCCTTCTCCAGTCCCTTCTGCAGTCTCTGGACACCGCGGAGAGAGCCGGGCCCCCAGCGGCGACCACGCGCGCCGCAGCCCCTTCTGCAGTCTCTGGACACTGCGCCGGCCACTGCGGAGAGAGCCGGGCCCCCAGCGGCGACCACGCGCGCCGCAGCCCCTTCTGCAGTCTCCGGAGAGAGCCGGAGTGAGTGAGTGGAGTGAGTGAGTGGAGTGAGTGAGTGAGTGGAGTGAGTGAGTGAGTGGAGTGAGTGAGTGGAGTGAGTGGAGTGAGTGAGTGAGTGAGTGAGAGTGAGTGAGTGAGCGAGCGAGCGAGCGAGGGAGTGAGTGAGTGTGAGTGAGTGAGTGAGTGTGAGCGAGCGAGTGAGTGGAGGAGGGGGCGAGGAGGACGGAGGGAGGGAGGGAGGGAGGGAGGGAGGGAGGGAAGGAAGGAAGGAAGGAAGGAAGGAAGGGCGGATGCGGGCGGGATGGCAGCCAACAAAACTAGAACCCCACACAGAGATGTGGGGAACAAAATCAGTGGCCGCGATCTGCACTTCTGCAGCAAACCTACTAGCGATGGCCTCCAACCTCATAGTGTTGCCTCCAATCTAATAGCAATGGCCTCCAACGTACTAGCAATGGCCTCCAACCTACTAGCGATGGC